TGTGCAAATAACTAGATAAATAAAATTAAAATAAAATCAAATGAAATTTTTATGTAATAAAAATTAAAAAAAAAAAATTGTATGTTTTATATAGAAAAAATGTCCTAATACCTGTGCAACAATTTTCGGAATCCATGTATTTGGTCTCAATGCTATGGATGTAGAACGGGAACGTGATAGAAAAAAAAACTACCTCTTTCTCTTAAACCATTTAATTCACTAAGTAAATCTATAAAAACTAAAAGATCTTGCACATTTCCTATACATCTAAGCAAAACTTTTGATAGCGAAGTTCCAAAATTTTTTAATTTACTTGACCAACCAACTCTACATGAAATTAAATTCAACGTTTAAGACAAAAATTATGTAATTGACTATAGTAACGTTAAAGAAAATAGTGATAGATCTCTTGTCCCATTTATGAAAGTTATCGACCAAGGACCAATATCTTATCATGCTTATCGTAAACTAGCTGCAATTCAGCATGAATTACCACGAGCATATGAAATTTCGGATACCGAAAAAGATATTAACCAAGAAATGAGCATCCAAATATCTATTTTTACCCTAAATATTGAAAATATGTCTCTTGAAACTTCTGATGTTGATCTAGATAGGATAAAAGTAGGATCTTTACTACAAATGAAGTCATTTGTTAACAAAGATCCTAATTTTTTATTTATTTTATTTTATTTTATTTTATTTTTGTATTGGAATGACTGTGATTTCTATACTGATTTACTGTAAAAAATTCTTATCGACTATTGTGATGATGCAAGTGATTTAGATATAGATATATTAGTTTTGTATTGGAATGACTATGTTTTCTATAGTTTTATTTTATTTTATTTTATTTCATCTTATTTTTATTTTTATTTTATTTATTTTCTTTTTATTTTATTTTATTTTACTTTATTTTATATATTTTATTTTATTTTTTATTATCAAACTTTAATTTCACTAATTTTAATGGCTTCGTTCCTACTTATATTTATATACTTATAGATACTAACGACCAAAAAATCGGAGAGGTTTTAAAATATATTGGTAAAGCATGCTATAGACGCATTACTGATATCCTCATATTTATAATTTCAAGTCTTGTAGACCGAAACATTCTTAATACAAATGATCCTGTCATTAATATTCAAATTTCGGGTGACAGGCGTAACGTTGGTAGAACAATTAAGCACGTGATGATAACATTCACAATATTAGATGATATATTGAACATCCACAAAGCAGATTTTCATTACACATTAATTCTATACCCGGGAATAGAAAATTATGAAATTCTAAAAATAGTAATGGATTCTCTTATAGTCGAACTAAATAATTTGATGGCGAATGGATTAGTAGACTTGAATGGTATAAAATGGAGAGTTGAACTTTGCTTCAGTAGTGACTGGAAATTCTTGGCTATCATATTAGGATTCAATGCCCCAAATTTGACCCATTTCTGTCCTTGGTGCCTCTGCACCAAAAAAGATATTGAAAATAAGAATAATGTATATAAAATTAAGAAAAGTATGGATTCATTAAAATCAGATTCACCACCACCAGGCCACCTCAAAACCCCTTTCCTCCCCATGATCGGTTTGGACTGGTATGTGTCTGATGAGTTACATATTATGTTGAGAATATGGGATTGTCTTTGGGAGTTGGTAATTCAGGAAATAAAGTTTGAAAATAGATATGATGATCACATAAGAATGGTAATTAGTTTAGAAATGAAAAGGATTTCCGTCGGATTTCACTTTTGGCAAAACCATGATACACAAAATTGGACACATACGTCTTTAATGGGAGGTGATAAAGAAAAGGTATTGTGTGATTTCAATTTTGAAGTCATTTTCGATGAAGAACAGGTGATATTGATTAATCGTTTGTGGAGGAATTTTTATTCCCTTTACAGACTTATGAAAGAACCAAATGCAGATCCTACTCTTTTCACAATTAAAGCAAAAGAATGACTCAATTTGTTTCTCACACCATATCAAGGCATACCAAATACTAGATCCTTTAAAAAAGGTCTCTACCGCCCCAAAGATGTCACACTGTATATACACGTTCTGATACATCATGTACCAGAATTTATAGTGCGTTACCAGAATGTTGGTTTGGCTGCATTTTCCTGCGTGGCAGTAGAGAAAAAAAATCACGATCAGGTTTCTCTCTTTTATAAAAAGTCAATGAGAGATGGAGGTAAAGGCACGGAAAGAAAATCTGCCATTCTCGAAATTCTCAATTACGAAAATCAGATATTATATTATGCCCATAAATCTACTGTCAATTTAACATCTAAACCTCAATATATTCATATTAACAAAAAAGTGAAAACTTCATAACATTTTATAAATAATTAAGTCTGATAATAAATTTCCAAACAAATCATTAAATTGTTAAATAATTACTGATCAATTAACATGATAATAGTGTTATAAAGTAAATCTTTAAAAATTTGAAATGTGATCCGGCCAGAAACCCGGCCTTAATTTTAATTATAATTTTTTTTTTTTACATTATATGGTTTAAAAAAAATTTTTTTGAAATAAAAATTATAACTTTTTTTAAATAAAAAATACTTTTTGGAGTGATTAGAAAGCTTGTATCACTAACTTTGAGTATACAATATTTAATGCGCATTCACAATTTGAACCTGGAACAAATTTAAGACAGACTTCTGTCCATCTAATTTATCAATATAATCACAACTCTAAGTCATTCCTATCTTGATGCTATAAATTAATTTATTCTAATTTTGTACAATATTTCATTCGCTATTTACAGGTTGAAATAGTAAATACAGGTGGGGTGAAATTAAAATTTAGAATATTACTGAAGTAATCATTACAGTAATTTTGCTGAAGATTCATATTGCGAAATGCGGATGTTAAATTTTAGCCAACTAGACAACTCTGATAAAAAACTCTTGACTTTAAATTACTTTTTTATAGAACTGGAAATGGTTTTACTCTTGCTTTATTTTGAGATTTATGTAATAATCAAACGAATGTTGTTGTAGCTGCGAAAGTTAAAGACACTGACGAAATTCTTGATAGATACAATCCTATTGGATGGGACAAGCCATTAATAATGAAGATATGTATAAGGATTGTGAAGGGTGCTTTATTTTTTTATGGTAGTATTTAAAATTCCATCTTAAGTCATGTGAAAGATCCAAGATATGCAAGTTTTTTGTGCTTATATTCCGGATTCAAGGTATGATTAAATAATACATTGAAACAAATTGTTAAGTAACGATTTTAAATCATATGATAATGTAACAAACAATTTATATGAATTTAAATTACTTATTTATAGAACCAGAA